AATTTGCAGATTCAATAGTTGAAAACCATTTGGAGAAATATATTGATGAACCAACAACACAACCCTTTACAATTTTAGCACCAGGGAATGATGTATTTTATATTGATCCAAACATCAACAAAAATAACACAAAAGAAATTTTAAAATATCATTTCTTGAATGGAAAATATACAATAAATAATTTAAAAAATAAAATGTTGATAAAAACTGAATTGATAACTGAAAGATTGAACAATCAAAATCAAAGAATAAAAGTGTTTATAGAGGAAAAATATCCTCATTTAAAAACAGATGATGATGATGGTGAGGATGATGATAAGGAGTACTTGGCAAGACCTTCTTCATCTATCATCAAATTTAATAATGCAATTGTGATTGATAAACATGAACCAGTGGAAATTGATAATTCAATAATTTATATGATTTCAGAAGTTGAAAAATTACCAGTTGACATTATGAAAACTATAATACAAAACAAACAACTATCATCATTTGTCTTGTCGATGTCAGCAAGTGAAAAGTTAAATTCTATTTTAGATGCTAAAGGAATCACTGTGTTTGCACCTATAAATAGTGGTTTTACAAAATTAGGCTTGATAAATCATTATTTGTTAACTACAAAAGGACAAGCTGATTTGGATTTGGTGGTTGGATATCATGTTCTTGATAAAATTTTGTATTTGGAAGATATACCTGAAGGTGAATCAATACATCACACAATTGAGGGTAATGAACTTAAAATTATAAAGCAGGGAACTGATGTATACATTAAAGATGGCCACAGTGCTACTACTTCTGTTTCAGTTATTACCAGTGGCAACAATTTAATTTCAAATGGTGTCATGCATGTAATTGATAATGTATTGTTACCACTATCACTAATTGTCACAGTGAAAAAGTTGCTTATAGGAGCTGATGTAGATATTATGTTTGAACTGATAAAAGTGGCAAATCTCACAGAGCTTATATTAGACTCAAATGAGACATACACTATTTTGTCACCAACAGATAAAGCATTTATTGAAATGAATTTTACAAAATTGCTTGATGATGCTGAAAGAGTAGCACGTTTATTGCTACTGCATATTATTCCTGGGGAAATTGAGAATCTTCGAGAGGGTAAAGAACTTCAAACATTACTATCCAATGATGCTAAACTTGTGGTTAGAAAAGATATTTTCAATGGTGGTTATATGTTGGAGGTGAAAGGACACTGGAGTTTTATGGATAAGGCAGGTATACTAAATAGTGGTAGAACTAGTAATAATGGGACAGTTTATTTAATTGATAAGGTTCTATTGCCTGAACATGTATCAGAAGAACCCATTGGTAAAGCATTTCTTGGATTTGTTATCGGATTATTATTGTTTAGTTTTGTTAGTAGTTCTGGTGTGTATGGGTGGGCATGGATACTACATTGGAGAAATCTTGGGCATGAACTTAATCCTTTGTTATGGTGGAAACGTTGGAGAGATGGATATACGCCAATTCCTTGATTGGAAGAAGGAGGGAAAACAAGAAGATGAAGAGAGAAGGTGTGTTAATTTGAGAGAAAGTAGGAGAAAATTAATCATTTTATTAATTGAATAATTTAATGCTAATATATTTTTAAAACAATATAATTGAAATATTAAATAATTAATATTGCAATTAAATAAAAATTCTATATTATAGACAATATCAATAATTTAGTAGTTTAATCATTCAATTTAAAATGCATTTTATAAAAATATAAATTGTTTTTATTAAGAAAAATTTCAGCAAAAAATTCTATAACCAGTACAACTAATAAATCAAATATTCACATATAACAACTTATTATGAGAAGGTGGATTGGTTGACTCTGTATTTTTCAATACACCACGAGTAGCCAATTTTACTATCATTGATTTCATTTTTTCTGGTGACATATTACCTTTTTCACTAATGATTAATGCTATGGCACCAGCAACATGGGGAGATGCCATGCTTGTACCAGACAATAATTTTGATCCATGTAATCCAATCCATGTTGAATAAATATCCTCTCCTAATTTTTGGTGAGTGCGAGAGATAAAAAATTTCAATGTTTGATTTTATAGATAGATAGATAAATAAAACTCTTGGATTTTAGAGTCGTATAGTATACCTGGTGCGAAAATATCAATACAAGGACCAACATTAGAAAATTTTGAAATCATATCATCAATATTCGTAGAACCAGTGGTTATGGCTTCAGATGAAGAGGCTGGTGAAAAGGCACAAGCGTTTGCACCATAATAATTTCCAGCTGCCATTGTAACATGTATGCCTAGATTTATAAGGGCGCAGCATTTTGCTGGTGCAAAATAATTTACTAGTCGGTGAGAGACTGGTTTAATCAAAAAAGGAAAGAATATATTAAAAAGAGAGAGATGAAAGGTGAAATTTAATTTAATCAATCGATTAACAATTAATAAATAAAAATCTAGTTGAATATTTATTTATTTTCTTTAGCCTGGTTTATGTCTAGAAGCAACCCAATTCATTGCTTTAATAATGTCACTTCATTTTCCAGAGCCTGATCTTCCTAAAGCTTTAAAACGGCTTCCTATATAAATATTTGTTTCATGTGACGTTATTTTTACAACAATATATATTTTTTTTTACCAGCAATCTATATATTTTTTATGAAAATAAAAAAAATTTTTTAAAAAGGAATATAATAATAATAAAGTCAGTGTCTGCAACTGATTCAAGTTCTCCAACTTGGAAGGTTGCAACCCAGGTTGCTGGTTTAGATTTTCCCTAGATTCAGAGTTTTGAGTCCTGAGTTGCTGTCTTGTTGGTGGCATGTCTACTCACCCTAATTTAAATAACAAATTCAGCTGGTCAAATAAAAATTAAAGAAACAGAAAATTATGAAAGTAACTAATATATATATATATATATAACATACCAAACAAAATCTGAACATTTTATTTTACAGCCTTCCTCTTAACATAGCCCAAATGCAATTTCAGGGTCACCGACCCCTGCTATGAATTACAACCTCCTGTGCTTGGAACAAGTTGCATATTCTTGTTGCTTTGATGGATCTGGATGTTTATGTGCACCTAATATCACAACTCTTCAAAGTTTCTCAATCACAGATCCATCCTTACCCTAAAGGTAGGATCGTTGCAGGCAACTTTTCGTTTAGCATGCCAGCAACCTTCTCTGGTCTGGGAAGATTAGTGAAAATGTCATTGACCATTGATGCAGTCTCGGTAAACCCCAGGGCCATGTTTCCCCTCCCTGGAGTTCAGTTGCATCATTGTATCATCATGGAAATCTTAGTCAGATTAGCCTTGTGTACATGAGGAAGGTGTGAGAATGACTGTAAATTGTTCAAGGTAGCGTGCATGCTTCAATGCCGGTAATCAAACATCGCATACTTAAATTGTTTCATATTGAATTGTTTCATCTGCAACAGTGTGCCGCCTTGAGATGTAATTATATATTTATAATAATATTATTAATAACGATTATGCAAAGCAAAATACCAATCTTATAATTATCTAGCAAAGATCTGCTCCGCGTTTTAATTTCCAATTAAAATATTTACAAACTAAATGACACCATATTATATTAATACAAATAAAAAATAGCATCTCTGGTTAGTTAACAATACTTCTTCTTTAGGTGACTCACGTTAGTCATCTTTGAAAAATAAATCAATCCGTCAACAAAAAAAAATATCTGTGCAACACCATCATGTGCCAATAATAATATGTTTACATTTTTTTTTTAAAAAAGAAAAAAAAACCGTCTTATCGTCTGAAAAAAAAAAAGAGAATGAGAAGACAAACCTGGTGAGATTGCTCGGTAAGTGTTTATCATAAGAATGGTGGCAGTTATCGCCACTTGGCGTCACTCTAGTTTAATAAAAAAAAATGGTGGTTATCGCCACTTGCTGTTACTCTAGTTATTATCATAAAAAGCAAATATGTTTCGTAGCTATGTGCAAAAACATTAATTTTAAATCCTTGACGTTAATTATTCTAGTACCGTTGAGGAAGAGATTGTTGAGAAAGCTGATAATGATGATGATGAATCCGATGATGATGCTGTTGATGATGATGATTATGATAAAACTGGTGATGAGGCCAATGACAAGGCTGAAGAAGTAACTTTTTTATAAACTTTACTGTTTTTTTTTTTTTTTTAGAAATTCAAATTCAGATATTTTTATATTACTTACTAAAATTATAATAGTCGAGGAGAAGAGATAGGGAGTTGGGGTCAAGTATGGCGGCATTCAATAGACTGGTAAGGGAGGAGACAGGACCAGGTCTGCGATTCCAGTCGGGTGTTATTAGGGAGCTACAGAGCACAATTTCTTTTTCAACCAAAGAATTGATTTTTTTTTTAAAAAAAAATATTAATAATTTATTTTGACGTTCAAAATAAAACACAGAGAGAGGATTATTAAGATTGTTTAGGGATGCGTAAGTACAATATCAAGTTAAAAAATTAATGACTAAAATATAGTTCCACTAATCACTTTTTTTAAATCAGGCATCTGTGCACAAGACAAAAACATTAATTTTAAATCCTTGACGTTAATTATTCTAGTACCGTTGAGGAAGAGATTGTTGAGAAAGCTGATAATGATGATGATGAATCCGATGATGATGCTGTTGATGATGATGATTATGATAAAACTGGTGATGAGGCCAATGACAAGGCTGAAGAAGTAACTTTTTTATAAACTTTACTGTTTTTTTTTTTTTTTTAGAAATTCAAATTCAGATATTTTTATATTACTTACTAAAATTATAATAGTCGAGGAGAAGAGATAGGGAGTTGGGGTCAAGTATGGCGGCATTCAATAGACTGGTAAGGGAGGAGACAGGACCAGGTCTGCGATTCCAGTCGGGTGTTATTAGGGAGCTACAGAGCACAATTTCTTTTTCAACCAAAGAATTGATTTTTTTTTTAAAAAAAAATATTAATAATTTATTTTGACGTTCAAAATAAAACACAGAGAGAGGATTATTAAGATTGTTTAGGGATGCGTAAGTACAATATCAAGTTAAAAAATTAATGACTAAAATATAGTTCCACTAATCACTTTTTTTAAATCAGGCATCTGTGCACAAGACATGCTGGGAGGGAGGAACTGAGATTAGAGGATCTAAGATTTGCAGCAGAGTTTAGGGAAAGAGTTAGAATAGAGACATTAACCGATTGTTAAATAAAAATTATATTCTTTTTACATCATTTACTTTATCAGATATTTCCTATGCTTCCCAAAAAAAATTATTTTTTTACTTTTTTTTATATCATTAAACATGATAATCAACACATGGAAATTAGCAAGCAATAATGACATAAGATTTAAGGATTATTTTGCAAACACATCTCTGCAGACAACTCATCAATATGCCCTAATACTAATAGTAGTAATAGTAATTTTGTGATTTATATAAATCAACAATATCTGATGTACAATAAAGAAATAGTAAATATTTAAATTTTCTCCAATTACTCGTCGTCATCACTTCGTTTATAAAAAATCTGATTTTGATCCTTTATCTCTTTTTTTCTCTGTTAGAAACATGTCAAAAATAAATATCTAATTCCTTGCTGTATAAAACTACGCGTTTATATACTGCGTGTAGTAAAGAATGGCATCAAAAGAACTCTTTCAATTATAAGATAAAAATTTTTTTTTGTTGAAAGAATATTCTTGATAGCTTCTGATATTTGTTGCAAAACAACTCAAAAAGAAACAAACAAAATAGTGGTTCAAATGTAATAAAAAATGATAAATAATGAAGGTTGCATTGGTGAATCTTGTTTCAATGAATTATAATTAAAATTCGTTGAAACGCAATTTTCATATGTGTCCCACCAATCCTGTGTACAAAGTAGATTAAAATAGTGGCCTGGACAATGGAAAAGACTATAACGCTAAAAAAAACCATTTTAACCGCAACTGTATGTAACTCTTTATGTAAAACATTGTTATGTTAGTAAAAAAATAAAGTATATATATTATAATTATGATATCTGAAAGTATTAATATTAATTTGAAAGTGTTACTATTACTATTATATATGAAGTTGAAATATTTTGACCTGAGAGATGTGATATGATCACTTCAATCATTTTAACCTTGAAATTAAATGATTTCAACTTCATGTATAATTACTATTACTATTACTATGGATATTTGAATAATAATTGAATATAAAATTACGAATATTTGAATATGGGGTCAGAGATACAAATAGGGACACTAATTAGTGGTCTCTGTCAAGTATAAATTACTGTCTTCCATTTGTAACACTTAAACATATAAATAAATAATCAACTATCATAACAATAATTCTTCTAATTAAATTAATACCCATATAATAAATTATACTGGCATATAATAATAAGTAAATCTACAACATATTAATATTGGATTTTTTTCATTTTACATTGTGCAACAAACAAATTATTCTTTAAAAATGTTTGAAATAAAAAGTATTCCACCTGAGCTTCTGACTGGAATATTCAAATACATTGAAGATGATTATAAAACATTATATTATTGTATTCTTGTCAACAAACAATGGCACAATATCAATATTCCAACTTTATGGAGAAATCCATTTTATTCTCTTAACAGTGTTAAAATATTAATTAATTGTTTATTGGAAGAAGATAAGGATTCCTTGACTAGAATTGAATTAGATTTTAAGCTATTGGAGAAACCACCATTATACAATTATGCCAGATTTTCT